ATTACATTGTTGTACTTTGTTATTTCGTATTTAAATGTCTTCTTTGTCTTTTATATCCTTTGTAAATTGCCTTTGATGAAATTTAATTTCTCTCGATTAAACATCTTTTAAATTTTACATTTCAAAGATAATTTCAATTCTGTATAAATTTAATGACAATATTTCAAACAACTAAAACGTAAATTTCCTTAAATAGGTACTTACTAAAAATATAAACTATCTATTTATATAAAATTGCTAAAACTCGAAAGTGACTTGACCGATTTCAATGAAAGTTTTTGTGTGTGTTTAAGTGGGTTCTAGATGATTTAGATTCACACACAATCAGACCCGGTAGGTGGCGCTGCTGTCGATATGCAGAGGTCTAAGTAAGTAACCATTGTTCAGCATGTGGGTATGTCAGTTCATCAAAGTGTCACCCAGGAAAGGTATTTCTAAATAAGTGGTAAATAAAAAATGGCTTTCTATAACTATTAAGCATTTTATAATAGATAATAAAAATAATTTATTGATAAAAAAGAAAAATGGCACAAATCACAATTTTACAATTCGATTACTTTTAGGACTGAATACGAAATTTGCAAACAGTAATCTTTGACTCCTGTGCCAGCCTATGTTATGCCCCATTTACATTCAGCCCGTTTGGGCAGGGAAGTGAGCAGGGCAGTGAGCAGGGCAGTATGTAAACAGGCTACTCGCGCTGACACTGCCGCTGCCGCTGACACTGCCCGAAATGTCGGTTTTTCGTGCGGAAGTCAAAGGACGGGCAGCGCGAGCGGCAGTGTGTGTTCACATTCAGCTCCATCGCTCACTTCGCGCCGTGCGCCTGGATGAACGGACGTGCGTGCCGTCCTGTTATTAAATAAATACGATCTACCAAAATGCCTTTCGAGTGGATTAATGAAAATACAATAAAGTTTTTAGAACTGCTGGAATCAGAAAAAACTATATGGGATTTCAACGATAAAAACCACAATTCATCATCTTCTACGAATACGAATTTTCTTTTTTGAGTTAACATAGTACCTATGTACATAATTAATTATAAATTCGTCAAATTTGTTATATTAATATAAAATTTAGTTTAAGGAATTAATGAACATTGACATTTTATTTCTAAAAACGATTAGTAACTCATATTGATTATTTATTAATTAAAATGTAAAATAAGTTAAAAGGTAATATTTGCATAATAGCCTGAGATTTTTAAATTATAATTTTATTGTAATTAAAATTACGAATTAGTTTATACTGAAGTGTAATTAATAAAATAATAATAGCTTAACTAATCTCATATAATATTTAATATTATTTATGTAACAATAATATAATAATTCAATTAATAATTTATGAACAATTTACTGTATAAGAATTCAAATAGAGTGGATCTGTATAAGTATTTAATTGTACATAATATTTGAATTCAAAAAGAATGTGTGTACCTAACTTTTAAGCAACATCGGGTTTGTGTAATTAGCTGTATTTCATATCATTTTTCCATGCCAATTATGGCAAAACATGTCAGTTCCACGTCATTGATCATCTTATGTACCATGTTTTTAAGCAAATAAATTTTCTATCTATCTATCTATCTTCTTTTGAACTTGATATCTTTTTAAATTATTAACATAATTTTGTATTGCAAGAAGACACAGCGCGGACGCTGTAATTATTTCGACGTCCGCCATAGTCGAAAGCCGAAAGCGATGTGAGTGGTAGGGCAGAGTGTGAATACACACTTCCCGCGATCCTGCTACGGCAGTATTTAGCGAAGTATTACCGGCAGCGCGAGGAGCAGTGGCAGTGGCTGAATGTAAATGGGGCTTTACAGGAGTCAATGCTCTTCTTTTTTTCTTGTCTATATTCTACACAATATATGACTCACAGCGTGCAATAATTGTGTGTGTGTGTTTGTGTACGTTTCACTTTAAACTTAAAAAAGTAAAGTTAAAAAGTAATATACTATATTGAATAAAAAATATTCTATTCGGTTCTATTCTAAATACTTTGTCCATTGTATTCGTTATTAAAAAAAATCATTTCAACAAGCAATAATGTTGGTACCATTTCTCTAACGTACAATTAAAGGTCTTTGAACATAATAAAATCGCGTTGCGTGATGGTTTGGTTGTAATAAACGTGCCAAAATGGATATTAAAAACAGTAGGTGGTAAAATTGCAGAAATATATTAAGAGAGGCCCTAAGTGGCAGAGTCGGCAAGGGACGCCCATAAACAGAAGTTGATTGACCAAATTGGCGATATATTAAAGAAGGGATAAATTAAGAGTACACATAACTGACGATATAAGCAGATACACGGATGTGTAAGAAGCATAAGAGCGAAAAGGATCGTGACAAATGAAAGTCTCTGCCTATACTTCAGGGTGCCAAGCGTGAGTGAGAAGCCGTAAGTAAATGAACAATGGGTGAAATAGGTAGTTAATGTAAAATTGAAAAGAAATATAATATTTTAAATGTTAGTAGTTTTTCCCCGCGGCTTTAATTGCGTGGATTTGACTTTACCAACATCATTAGCGTTCCATGCCAAAATTTGGGATCACCTTGTTAATAATTGTCAGAAAGTCTCACTGTCTGATGTCTGTCAAAAACGTTTTTTTTTTCAGAGACTTGATAAATATATTCACTCTGTATTTTTTTTTACAGTTTAAAGTAAATATATATTTGTTGATAACTCGACCACAGGACCACCCCACTTATCGAGTCCTTTATTATATTAGATTTTTTTCTATTTTGGCTCTAAACCAAAACAATACATCTTTAATATCGATAATTTTAATTGATAAATATAGATTTTGACTAGAGTGCCATCTATCAGGCTACGAATCATCGTCTCAAAAATTATATGTTTAATTTTTTTTAAATTTTTACATGGTATATTGTAGAGAGAAATATCTTAACAAATATATTTAACTAAAACTGTCTTAAACACTTTTCAAACAGGTTACATTCTTATTAATACTTTGAAATGCGAATAAAGAGAATGAATAATTAACTAAACACTTATTTCTTATATTATTATTTCGCTTTTCTTATTAGAATATGAACAGAATAATTTTTATTCGTAGGTACAATATTAAAAGCATAAGATTGTAAATTGAAACAAAAATGGAACTATGCAGATTTAGCCCAAACAATGCTGATTTTGGCAGCCCCCCACTAGATGGAGTGACGACGCGGTATAACATACAGGAAGTCAATGAATACAGGTGGCTCAGAACCACTTTTTGTGGCGTTCCTTTCGCAAAATGACACTTTTTTAAGTTACTACCAAGTTGTGCAGAACACTTCATTCAAGTTCGTTAAGTTTCGATAAATTAGTTTTAAAGTACATTCCGAAAAAGGCATAGTTTCTTTTTATATTTATGCCATGGGCCTAGGATAAGTTGCAAAATTAGGAGAATAAATCGATTTTGTGAGAAATATGATGGTACAGTTGCTATAGTAACAAAGTACAAGGTTCCTGTGTGTCATCATGTTTTCATAGCGCCTAGTTTACTGTCAATTTACAATCTTATGGTAAATGCTACTAAAATAAACATGCTTAATGTCGGCAGTGACGTGTTGTCAAATATGTCAGTTAGGCAGACATGCCTTATTTACATAGCAGTGCTTCGATATTTTAATGACTAAGAACATTTATATCGCGGATGGATTTAAAAGGATATTAATTATACCTAAATATCATCATCAGCCAACCACGCCTCAACCACGCTTTTCACACGGATTGGCGATCGTTGTACTGTGGCGTGTATTTCGCACGTTCGATGCTCGTCACCATTGTCGATATGTTTATATCTGGTATCAAGAATATCATATCCCTATTGCATATCACTATCTATCGGAGGCCACGATATCTTCGTGACATTTCCTAGTCACATTTTACGATATCCAAGGAATAAAATGGGGTGGTAATTTTCTAACGTCACTCCAGTCCCACATACACAAAAAATATACACATAATACAAATTTTAAAAATAACATGTTTATGTAAAGAAGAATTTTTCAAATTGAAAACAATCACAGAGTATCTTGAACCTAGTGAAGACGGAAATATTGAAAAACTTCGTATAAACATATTCATCAAACTGTGTTTTACATCCCCATTTCTCAGTTACATTTAAATTCAATTGTAGAATTTTAAATCATCCTTCCTAACATAAACCAGGTTGAAATTATTATGTACTAAGAGTCCACTAGGTCGTCACTTTGATATTATGACGCAGTATATGTCTCGCACCGCAGATATATTAAGTACATATTTATAGATCATATCCATATTTTACAGATCTTACTGACATTTTCAATAATCGTCTCTTACGGCAAACACAGTACGAAGTGGGGTAAAGGATTATATCAGGCCACCCACCACACAAAAAAATTAATACTAACCAATTACTACTAACTTCTACGAGTTATCCATCGGACTCTGGTCATCATGTTCAATGTGTAGGTAGGGACTTCTTAGAACAGGACAAATGAGCCCAAGCTCGTAAAGTTTACTACTACCCACCGAAAGGTTTTATTGCCAATTTTCCGTCTCCGTCCTGTGAACTGATTGTCTCGAGGGTGCTATATTATTGCATTGACATTAAAATGGCATTCGTAAACAATTTTTAAATGGATAAGACAATTAGAACTGCGTACAAATCGGATGAAAAGCGCCTTGTGGAAGGGAATTCACATATTATCTCATCGTAAGAGTCATGGACAAATCTCAAAAGTTCTTTCTTCTTTTTTTTATGGTTATTATATTCGACAGATGGCGGAATACTAATTTAATATTTATACTAAATGTAAAATACCCAGATCCGTGATGATATTGCGAGACTCGTTCGTCAATATGTCTGGCCAAGCCCACAACTAATCCTCTCTACTTGGGAGATGTATGTGCTCTGATATGTTGTTTATGGATTGATAGAAAGAAGAAAGAGGAAAACAACGTAATAAACGCGCGTCAATAAAAGCAACAGATACTGACCGTCCGTGGGCGATGTGTAAAGCTTCTTGCACAGCTCCTGTGGCCCGCCGAGCGCGTTGATCTTGGCTAACCCCTCGGGGCCTCGAGTCTCCATCAGCTCGCGCAGCTGCCGGAGGCTGACGCCATATTGCGCCGGCCGCCCCTCCACCGTAGCCATGGTGCCGGGCTCGCGGCCGCCGCCCGCACCACGCCCGACCACCCACTAGATCTGCAACAATCATGCATTTTACAATTAGCATGTTAAAGTTTAAAGTTACTTATAATATTTATCGACCCGTTACAGTCCCCTACTAGACTTAGGTCACTCTGAAACATGCACTTGGCAGGCAGATGCACGTTAGTGTTTTTTTTATAAAATTTTTACTCAGTATGGTGATGAAGATATAGACATGTATGAAGTTCGAATCTACATCACAGCGTATTAAATAAGTGCTTAGCTCTAATCTATATTTCCTTCGTACTTTCAAAAGGTAAATTAAAATTTAAATTTGATTTTTGAATCTTCATAACCACGATGTTACTACTAGGACTTAGTGGTCAGTTATCCAATAAGGCACAAAACACGTGTCATTCGACGGAGGCATAAATAAACAATTTCTAGATTAGGCAGGTTGGATAAGTGGTGACAATATCTTTATCATTTCACTTATAACAAAGCTTTAAATCTACATAACTTTTAAAAGGTATTCGTATATGAAGTGCACATAATTGAGGTATAGAATGAGGCGCTCCTCAAATTAGATAGGAGACATATCATTTTTTTCGCGTGTATCTTAGTTAATTAATTTTAACATCTATAATCATATGCACTGGGTACCTTCACGTTTTAAAATAAATATGAACTTCAAAACGTGTACAACAACTTTCAGTGCTAAGGAACAAATGCAAAAAAAAAATAGGTTAGACCGACTCTTAATTTCTTCGATACCGATTTTATTATAAAACTAAGTAAGAAACACATAAACAGTATCTTATATTTTATTGTATTATCTTGTAAGTTGTAACTAGAGTATTCCAGGGGTAAATAACTTTTCAAAGTGCACTCCATCGTTGCGTTTGCATAATTAAATAACGGGTGGTGCGAGTTGACTGTTTTACACCTACACAAAAGGTGTTAAAATTGGATTGTCCCACGCAATGAGATTGCCGTTTGGAATGTTTTCATTTAATAAATACAAATTTCATAAACTTTTTTGATCTAAAAATACCACGTGCACGTGCAAAATTTTCATTTTCATTAAAGTTTCACATTACTGTACAATTGTGTTTCATGAAACGGAACGATGTTTTTTTTTATTATGTAACAACAATTACTGTAACCTACTTCCTTTTAGTATTATTTTGGCTTACGTAGTAGACTTGGTCATGCTAATCGTAACCGCAGCCATAGCTTCATATTGTTGTAATAATTATACAGTGTGCAATGAGTGTGAAATGTATTAAATACAGTTAATTTACTTGTTTGTGTGTCATTAGCCCAGGCACGTGCACGTCATTATATTACTAAAGGTATCTTATTATTAAGTTTTACTAAACTTATACACAAATTTATTGCCGGCTGATGATAATAATAAAGGAGGAGGGAATTTCCGTCTATCCATCCATTATAGAATATCTAAAATCGTCATAGGGGCAATATTTGCCGTAGTTACGTTTTTTTTTTTAATAATTTTGAGTTGTTATCAGGAAGCCGCTGTTGCTCATCCCTTATATAATTTTTCTCTGTCACCTCTATGACAGTTACGGAATAATATGGTTTAGTAGATTTCCTTACGCCGCCACTTCACGGCGGTAGGTAGGCACAGAGGTTTAATTTGTTAGCTTTTTTTGTATTATATTATTGAAATACAAAGAAAGTAACCGATATAAAATAGTACTTTAGAGCGAATTTAGTCAATTATATGTGACAGTACCGTAAAGTAAACACGATAGTTCTCATGGCAATATTTTAAATATTTTTATATTAATATCAATAAGATGATGATGAAAGGAAACCATCGATATATATATATATATATATATATATATATATATATATATATATATATATATATATATATATATAGTAATTAATGTATAAATCAAGGTGATTTATCTGACAACAGTATACTACTACAGACATGATGGTGGTTATCTAAATGTATGAAAATGTTCCCTGCTGACTGATAGAAGAGGATCTGGCGACCGATAGGTGTAGTGATGCTGCTCCTCATCACCAGGATGGATGCAGCGTTACAGCAATGCATTGGCTGTGCGTTTGTGCGTTCACCAATTTGCTTAGTGTGGTAAGTGTGAGCGAATCTAAGCGAGTAAAGTCGCGGGGTTGAATCCGCCATTCGAATACTGTCGTGAACCACTCTTAATAGTAATGTTAACAGCACTATTAGTATTAATTTTTTGCATAAGAATGTTCTACGCGTAGACCTTTACAAGAGTATGGGTCTTTGTCTAGCAGCAAACGTACCTAACTGTTAAGTGTGATAAAATATGTTAGCGTAAATAATATATATGGAACAAAATCTAAAAAGAATGGAAATAAATAGAAATAAATAAATTAAAAAATCTAATAAATAAAGCACGTAGAACAAACAAATGATTAGATGTCTTGAGGTAATAATATAAAAAATTGCCGCCTAAACATATAATCAAGGTTTTAGGGCTCATCGGGGTAGAAGGGTGGCAGGGTACACCTGGGAGGACTGTTATTGGTGTTTATGAGCCCATAAAGTCATTCCACGCTCCACTGCACTGTCATGCATAATTAAGACGGCGACGGAGGGTTAATAAAATGAGAAATTTCACGAGCTTGTTTGTATTATGAATTGATGATCGTCTTAATGCGATTATCCGAATAAATCTAGGGCAAAATTATGTTGCGTTTCAACTTTATTATCTATTTTTATCAAACAATTATATCAAAGTAAGAACTACGAATAAACGCTCTTGAACGCTGATGACGTATAGGACAAAAAGCAAACACGTAAAAGGAATTGCAATCAGATAGCTTTTACCGTTTCGAAATTCACGGTAAGACAAATACTTATATATAGGTCGAATTTGTTAGCCGAACAATCAAAGCGCTTCGCTGTGTTCGCAGTCACCGAGCAAGTCAGTACGTGGGGCGTTCCGAAAGGGAGGTTTAGGTACTGTCGTAAAGTAAACGCTAAATACGCAAGGAGCCACGTCATATTTTACGAAGAACGTTTAAGCATCTTGAGCGGAAATTATGTGATGTGAGCACACACCAACTGAGGCCCGCGGCTCCATGTTGCTGTTGAAATTCAGTGTAATGATTGAGTAATTAATTTGGATGCATTGCACGAAATAACAAACAAGTTGATCGGGTTCTGTTAACATTTTGTACAACACAGATCGCGGAAGTGTGTCATGTTAAAACAAAATGGTAGGCGATGATAAAATGAGCAAATATATTATGTGTTTGTACAAGTAGTATATATCGATTACATTTCATCGCGTGTGTAAACGATCATAAATATTTTACAATATAGTATTTTTTTTTACTAGGTATTTATAAATCAGAAAGATATAAGGTTTTCCGTAATGCGGATTATAATCTAGGTTTTTTCAAAGGGAGTAGGTAACATTTTATTCATATATATCTACATATTAAAATAATATCCCTAAATTATTATTAAATTGAGCCTGAAAATATATATCAATTACTTTGTGTGCTAATAATATTACAATAGTCGATATTTTCAAAAGAAAAAATACCTAAATGAACTTTGAAGACTCAGGCGTGCTAAGTGAGTCGCTTACATAAGAACTGAACTAGTCTATGTTAGAACTGGCTCAGAATGTTTTACATTCACTTATCATACATAAGACAGCATTCTCAAAACTTATTTGTTGTTCTATATAAAAGTGGAAATTTTAAAGCGCGTAATGTAGCAAGTTTTGTTTTACAAACTGACACCAAAAATACACACGATCGATAAAGCACAACATAGATCCGAAGTAGGTGTTTGCTATTAGCCTTAACTAAAATGCGAGTGGTGATGGGGTGGAGACAAGTGGGCTGCATCCCCCAGAAGGTTGGCAACGGCATCCGGGTTGAGTGTCGTTGAACGGCCGGCAATTAGGTCAAGCTAGTGCCCATCTTTGTTGGATTCTGCGCGCCTGGTATCCGGCGGTGGAATCTTCGACTTTCCCACAATGCTTATTATATCTATTAATGATTGGAACATACTTTAATTAAATTGTTGATTTTTTTTAAGTTACAAGTATTAATAATGTTTCTTTTATGTTTAGTTTTAGTACGAGTAATAATAATATGAGTATTAATTTGTTTTCGCCTAGGACGCCCCTTTCCGACTCTGCCGTTCACTTCTACAACATAGATTTGCTTTGCCACTTCGTTTTTGACACTTTCCTCGTTCATTCTTTCCACATGACAAAACCACCGAAGCATATTTAAGCGGGCTACATACGACACGATATCGGTGGCGATCTAGGGTGGAGTAGTGGGGATGCCTCCTAGATTGCCTCTAAATCATGTCGTATGTAGGGCCATCCTAAGTCGTGGCCGATATCGCCTCCTTAATCGGCTGGCAGGAGCAAAAATGCTTCCTAGATCAGCCGATGCTTCCTAGATCGGGGCACCGCCCCCTCCTTACTGCGTGTGTGTAGGCGCATCGGCCCGATTTCTTTTTGGCAGTCGCTGCCGGCAACCCTCGCGGAAAGAAGTTAACAAAACAGTGATACTGAATGACCTTTTTTTATATAACAAAAATTTTTACATTTTAATCATATAAAGGGAGTGCCTATGGCACTGATATTTTACAAAAAACAAAAAAAAAGTGAATAAAATAAATAAATTAATTGAAATTTTATCGAAATTCAAATCATATCCACCCTAGCCTGTGACCCGGCGAAGTGACATGGTCAAGAATGCCTACTAAACTAATTTTTTTATTGCCGTTCATAAAGTAGAGTGTATGATGTAAGTAAGGAGAAGATAAAGCCTCTCCTCAACAACTAACTCCTATTCCAACACTATCAACACAAGACCGCACTCATATCTCTTACAACTCCACAAGACCACACTTCGATCTCTTACGTGTCTTCATCCTCTTATCAACAACTAACTTCTACTCCTTCACCATCTTCACATCAACAAACAAGTTATATAAAAGG